CCTAGCTGTACTAAAAAAACTTCAAATACATATATTTTTATTTTTTCCTAAGAATTTTTAAAATCATACCTAAATATAATTATTGCAAATACTATATCGTCACCAATAATTATGAACAATTGAATTTATGAATTTTCAGTACAGAGCGAATTGGAGAGGAGCTCGCAAAATACGTCACAGTGCTTCCAAGTCGATTGACAGCTTCAAAAATTCACAACTTTCCTATTTTTAGTTGGATATTGCTCAAACTTTCACTAATTTCAGTGTCTCATTTTTTCTGCTTTTAGTTAATATTAGGGTACGTGTAGGGCAGCCCCCCCCCCCCCATTTTAGTGTTATTTAGGGTACGTATAGTGTTCCCTCCTTTTGAAAACACCCCCTTAAGTCCGGAGTGTAAAGTCAATACGGGCTGGATTTTTATGTAATACGAGCCGGACTTTGGTGCGTGAAAAGTACCCCTTTACCGGACATTTTGGGAACACGCATGGTAACCACTCCGTTCACGGAGTGGGGGGGGGGGGGGGGGGCGGGGGCGAGGTGTAGGCCTATTCTGAAGAAACAAAATCTTGCTCAATGCTATGTTTTATGCAGGTTTTGAAATAATCACATAATATCCATTTAGATTACGATTTAGCCCGTTTTCCACAGACATAAAGACCTACATTATTTTAATTTGTAGTGAACATAACAATTTGGACCCGTGCATGCAGAGATTTAAGTTCAAGATTTTTTTTTTGTTTTCAATGATATTTTATTTTCTCCATTGCTTTTCACAAACAATAACAAAATCAATACATAAAATAATCTGCATGTTAATATTATTATATAGAATATGATTTTACATTCACATCTAAATAATACAAATGAAATTTTACTATTTACATCAAATAAAGCATGAAACATGCATGCATGAAGAAGGCATGAACATAAAAAGACATTTAAGAGAAGAAAAAAAGAAGAAGAAAAAAAAAAAAAAAAATTACTTACATACACACATACACACACGTGCACAGACACCCACTTAAAAGATGCTTCTCCATAACTACTGTATTTCGTGATAGCGGGCGCTCTTCAATATTCCATCTCGTGACGCCTCTATTGACCTTTGTTGAAGCAAGCACTTTTAACTAGCCCTTACTGGAAATACTTGAGGCAAAAATTATCAATATAGGCCTACAACAAACGGTAACCGACATAACAATACTATTTTTTTTAAAATACAAATGAATATGCATCTTTTCTTAAGCAATCCTATAGAACTTAGAAGACGTGAGGAACCGGCATGTGCTTGTTTTTACTTTGTGCTTTGTGTTAAACTTAATTTAGTAACGATATTTGTCTGTTGATGAAGAAAAGAAATTGAGATTTGATGTGCAAGTAATTAATTCTTTACTCATTTTTGTAGTCTTCTGCGGTTTGCTATAATAAGCATCACCGCATGCTTATGAAGCCCAGATAATTTTGAGCATTTCCGACGCTTTTTTCAAAACAGCGAGCAGCGGAACGGTTTTACACAATCATTATTGTCTTACGTTAAAAAAAAAAAAAAAAAAAAAAAAAAAAAAAAATTATTATTTTCGCGGGATTTCTAGCAGTTGCCCGCCTGCTGACCCGATAATAAAGCATGGGTGCATTGCGAATGGTGAATTCACCCCCGACATCATTTTGACATCATCATATACACAAAATTGTCATTGTTTTTCCGCTTGACTTGCTTGTCAGAGATATTAATAAACATAAAAAATAAAACTAACAAAACTAAACAACAATAACAACTATGACCGCTCAGATACGTTTGAACCGCAAGCAGTCCATGTCTATCGCCATTCACATTCTCCTGCATGACATCCGTGTGAACCTACTTTCCACTGGCGTATCGATCTTAATCGACTAAAGAAGGGGCAAAATATCAGATTCAGCGATATTGATCATCAGAGATAATGGATCGCGTATCCTCATCGCCCCAATGACTTTTTAAAATGTGTTAATTCATGATGCTTGCTTTATCACTCAGATGAAACAATAACTTTTATTGCAGCATTGTCCCTATTCATGTATTTTTGTTTTCATGTTGGGGGAATTTTTCAGGAGGAGGCAAATAAGGCCGAAGTCTTTGCCCACCCCACCCCTTCCCATCCACACGTCACTACCCCATACTCTCCAGAGTAAATAAATCCATATGAAATATAAAAACCCTTTGATTCAGAAATAACTTACAAAAGGTATAGACCAATGACGATATTATTTCAAGTCTAGCCACTTTCATGACGCATACTTCCTACAGACCGACGAGAAGGAGAGCTAAGAACTCGCTGGGAAGAGAAGAAGGGGGGGGGGGGGCATTTAGACGGATCCACTTAATCTACGCTACATAATCATTCTTTTCGAAAAGCTGGAGGGTATTCGCCCCCCCCCCCCCCCGTCACTCGATCAGGATATCCTGGAACTACAGTTTGAGTTGGGTGATATCTGTGATGTTTTCATTAGGGGGGGGGGGGGGGGGTTGTAAATATATGGACAGTCTCACGTGCTTGAACAGGCTTCTCACAACTAGTATTGATTTTATTTTTGGAAGGGGGGAGGGCTTCAAAAGTGTTCTTTCCTCTATACCCTACGACTGTAGTAGTATATTGCCGCCTTCCCATTCACGTTAACCAATTTCGCAATCTGACCACCTCCATCGATTTGCGTGGATGGTTTTACCCCGAGAACTATATATTCGATATAGTTTTTATTCTCGGTGAATAAAATTGTAAAGCTCAGATTTGGGGGGATAATTATGTCAGACAAGCTCAATTCTTGAGAACCATTTTGAAAGAGAAAATAACCTTTCAACTATAGACCAATCAGTTAGTGGTGACCATGGCCCTGTCTTATAAACAGTTGCGATTAATCGCAATTTGTTTGCGATTGGTTCAATTGCAACTATGTATATTTTAATAGCGATTTATCATTATAGAGGACCTTCGATTGATTGGATCGATCGCAACTCTTCATAATGCCTGGATTACATTTGGCCTGCGATTAGTCTATACGGAGCCCGTATCCTGCCCGTATCCCCTTTTCCATGCGGCCTCTGTGCGGAGGCAGGAGGCGGCCGTGAGATTTTCGTACGGATTCACGGTCTCCGCAGCCTTTACGATTTTGTTTCGCGAGAAGTTAAACAAATTTGAAAAATATCGTAAGCCCGTAGCCCGTATACATGTCGTAGGTGGCATTGCACAATCCCCGCACGGGCACCGCCCGGAGGCCTCGCACTGATTGTGCAGCAAACGTACGATTTTTCGGTGAAAATATGGGGGCAAAAAAAATCGTACAGAGATTGTAGACTCGTGGGGCATTCGCACGGCCATTGCACAGCTATCGCAAGGTTGCTGCTCGCTGCCCGTGCAGTATCCGTGATATCGAGCAGTCATCTCCGCGCAACCTTTGCACGGAAGCTGCACGGTCTCCGTACGATTTCCGTGCGGAGGCTGCGGAGACTGCACGGCTACTGCATTCAAATTGCACGATTTCCGTACAATCTCCGAGCAGCCTCTGTACGGATTTGCCCCGGCCTGCCCCCGAGGGCCAATATTCAATAAATGGCACGATGCTCGTTGATAATGTAAACACAAACATCGTAGCCCGTAGCCTCCTACGATGTCTACGACAAATCGTAGACTAATATATTTTTCGTACGGCGCCCGGGGCAAATGTAATCCTGGCATTATAGACAGGGACCCTGTAATCTCATCTTGCGGAGGGGGGGGGGGGGAGAGTATAACCCTATACCAGGGTTTGCCAAAGATAACCCTGTATGCCTTGTAGACCTATTAGGATCCAAAAGAGGGGGGGGGGGGGGGGACGACAGGACGGTCTCCCGTTCAGAAAAAGCTCAGTTTTGTGACGGTGGCCGATGACCGTGCAGGCTTTCGTAATCTCGGGAGGGTTTAAGATTTTCACAGATGACGCTCTTGAATAAGGTTAGAAATTTGGACAACTAGAGAAGGCTGGCGACGGAAATATTTTGGCCGCCCTTTCGGACATTTCCGGATTCATCCCCTCCCCCCGTAGAGTGTAGGGCCACTGCTAGTTCTATCATTTTTAAATATTGTTGTCATGGACTTCCAGAAATATAAAGGTTAGTGTAAACTGCACGGCTCGAGGCCCTGTTGGATACCCCGCTGGTGACTAGAAGTGGAACACAATGGCCCGAATTCACAAAGCAAGGTTTGAGCTCAGACCAAGGTTTGAGCTCAAACCTCCTTTTGTTCCGCCAAACCTCCTTTTGTTATTTACAAACCTGGTTTGTAAATAACAAAAGGAGGTTTGGCGGAACAAAAGGAGGTTTGGTTTGTAAATAACAAAAGGAGGTTTGGCGGAACAAAAGGAGGTTTGAGCTCAAACCTTGGTCTGAGCTCAAACCTTGCTTTGTGAATTCGGGCCAATGGGTTTTCTAGTCCAAAAAAATATTGTTTTCGGGGGGGGGGGGGTGGTAAATGAATAATGAACAGTGCTTGCCTGACTGCCGCATGTAAACTTAATTGGGATAGTTTAATTCTGCCTTTCCATGCAGAAGTTTGAAGCAATAAATTGAGCCATGATTTTAATGGAGTATGTCCGGCTGCCGCGACCCATGGCTGAAATCATAAGGTAACACTAATATTGGAGATTACCCCCCCCCCCCCCCCTCCCCCTCTTCTGATGGTCTGCTGTCTGCAAACGCGGGGTGATAGCCAGGGTGGGGGCTATGCCAGCTCTATCCTCTATACTTGCATGATACGACCCTGCATTGACTCCAAATTCTTTTTGAAGGTTTCCTCTAAATTAACAAATAAATACAAACAAAACAAAACATGACCACGGTCACTTGGAGAGCAGGATTAAAATCAAATCAAATCAAATCAACTTTTCAAGGCGTACGTCGGGGACTTACCCGGTCCTTTGTTTACAAAACAACTTTGACATCCGGGACATCGATCTACTAAACGAGTCGAGTGCAGTGAGCTAGCTAGCTCAACGCTCGTGTAATTTGCATAGCAGCCATATTGACCGTTCCTACACACTGTACTCAGGCGGCCGAGATAGCCGAAGTCGACGCGGCGCGAAAATAGGGGCATATCTCGGTAAAATCGAAGGCTAATGACACTGCTTAGTTAACCATCTGCCAGTGATATATTTGTATTATTTAATTCAACAGGGAACATCATTATTTATCTTTCATCAACAGTATTCAGGGTGTATGTTCTACCTCTTCTTTCTGAACGCTGTCCAGCTAGCTAGCAGCACCCTCCGGATTGTTTATCTTTACGGGCACGGGAAATAAAACCGAGAAGGACGTGGCCGTGGAGCTGAATGCGAATTTTCGTAAGCGGCAAGGCTTTAGCAAGAAAGCGTGGACAAGACACTTTGGCCTTCGTGTTGACTTGTCTTTTATTTTGCACTAGCATCAGCTTGGGCCCTATCGGAGTGATATAGCCATATCTGGATCGAGAATGGCTGGGAAGGATCCTCTCATCAGACTCTGTGAGCTGTTTTTATTTCTGTCCATCGCAGGTGAGTGAAAAAATTCTACACGGGACTTCACTCCACACCACAGAGCCTGCATCCCTGTGCATTTATGCATAGGATTAGGAAAACGACTCAACGGCGGGTTGGGTCACATTTTTTCGAAATGTAAAGAAGCTGAAGTAGTAATAACAATTTTGACTTACATTGTTTGTTAATCCTCTAGGAATCCGATCAACCACTTAAAATTATAATTTGAAGAAGTCTTTGATGGGGAAAAAGGGTGATTCCTCGTCCTAACCCAAGGGCGATGGTCCGAGAATAAAGATCCTCCGTACAAACGAGGATCATTTTTGTGTAATAAAACACGGACAAATTCGTCCACAACAATAAGGATTGTCCGCATTTTGGCTGACGATTCTGATTTCCGATCTGCTCGTTGGCGATGCAAAATATGGGTTCCGCAATGATTTTCTTGATGCATTTTACATTGACTTTGTAGATCTACAGAGACTTTCACGTTATGAGCGATAAATCCTCGGGAAGACTGACAAGTGACAACCCATTAAAGTAGACGGTGAACTTTTTTTTTTTTCTTATGCGGAATCTGTTTTTGACATCGCGAGCGGCGAGGTTCAGCGACCCTAAACCTGCAGAGCACCGATGAAGGAAAAAAATCCTTATTTTTTGGGCACATTTTGTTTATGCGGACGATCCTCATTCTCGGCCAGCGCCCCTACTGATGTTGTATATCGTCGATTCCACAATGCGAAAAGAAAGTATGCATACGAAACACATACCGCACTTGGTACTTTCTCTTCAAATTATAATTTTAAGTGGTACTGGTAGAACGGATGCCCAGAGGAGTAAAAAAACATTGAAGTCAAAATTGTAATTACTACTTCTTTACATTTAAAAAAACTGTGACCAAAACTGCTGTTTGACTTTGAATCGTTTTCCTATACAGGCTCTGGAGCTACACAGGACTTACTTACAATACATGGCGCATAGTCGCCGCATGAGTTGTGAGCTGAGTCTAGGCTCTCTAGCACAAAAATGTAGCAGCATGCTTGCTTACAGTAGTAATTGCTAGACTCTCAACACAGCAAGGGGAGGGGTCTGTATAATTCTTTGGTAAAGTTCGCAGTTGTCAACCCTCTCCATTCACAGACAGTAATAGCTTGAAGGGCTAGGTGATACTATTGATATGAAATATGATATTGATACCATCTATTTGGCACCCATACCCATGTAAACAAAACCTAAAATGCATTGGTAATCACCCATTCCTGCACTAGATGACCTTGCACACTGGATTTGGAGTTTGGTAGGGGACTCCACTTTCCTAGTTTCCTCTCATACAAAGCATTTTGAAATTAGTCAAGAATTAAACCCCAAAAGTGACAAATTAACACCGGAATGAGAGCATATTTGCTTACCTTTCAGGAATACGTGCAATATACATGTACCTGTATGTGCTGATAATAGCTAACATGTAATTTTAATAGTGGATTTACATTACAAAAATGCTGACCTTTTACAAGAGTTGGTGGTTCTGCATGAAATGCAAAGCCAATTTAATACTGATTTTACAATGACAGCAATTGGTTTATATACAATACGCACACAAGGAGTCCGCTGAATTTATTTAGTACAATCTCAGCACACACGCTTTTTTACACTAATCACTATCATCGCAAATTAAGTATCATATTGGCAGCATGAAAACAGTTTTTCTTTGTACACCGTGTGGTTTTGCATTTTAGGAAGAACCAACGTTGCAAACTCTTGTATGAGGTTTTGTGTTTCACAATTTGGGCCGCATTGCAAGTAAGAAATTAAACAACCTTGAAGTCCTTGATGTCCTTGGCCGTTCTCTGCCGCTCGTGTAATGTAGATGTCAATAAATCCTGTAAACTCTATTTTTAGAGAATATGTCATTACGGTTTTCTTTCAAGTCCAGTGGTGATGTCAGTTTTTGGTAGGGCTATTGCTGTTTATTTCTTCAAAGGAAAACTGGATCTATGTACATACAGGGTATGTCAGTTTAATAAAGTGAGAATTATTTTACTGTTACCTTTACTGGAAGAATGCTGAAGCAGCAGCTGAACTTCCACGTCTATTTTCTTGTCACTTTTGGTACCAATAACTACATGTATGTAGTTTACGTAATAAAACATGTTAGGGAGGCAGGGGGACAAGAGGAACATGTAGCATCTTGACTGCATGTGTCTCAGGAGTAAAGGAATTAATATGAGACAACATTATAGTTTGACGGGCTTCAATTTCTATGCCATGATTCAACAGACAAGTTGACCCTCTCTAGGACTAATTGGAATAGGATTTCATTAGTGCACTAGATTTTTAAAAGTTTGTACCCCAAATTCACATGGGTCATTTCCCAATTGTCTTACAAATATGAATTTACATGTAAATTGATAGTACCGGTAGGTTTAGGATTTATTTTAGGGCTGCGACGTGTAGTCGAATGCTTGAGAATCCGTACGGTTGACAACTACTCGAGTATTCGGCCGCAAAAAAAAAATATATCACTTTCCAGGCCGACGCTTACCCGTTCTAGGGAGAGAGACGGCCGCTGGCATGGTTCCGTCTGTAAAAATGTTTCCCAACTCGGGCACTGTCAAACTCACCTTTCAGAAACTGTGACCAAATGTCCGGATTTCTGTTTGGACTCGGAGGAAAATGGATTATTCTGCCATCTTTGGTTTTTAAAACAGCATTGTTTACTGTTATAAATAATTATTATTAAATTGGTGCCTTCAACTGCAACTGGAAGTAAAATTACATGCGTTTTCGGCGATGGACTTGGCATACTGCTCCAGTGGTATGGTGGTGGCAAAAAAATAAAAAAAATAAAAAAAAATTATAAAAAAACATGGCGTCCGAATATTCAAGCAATTGCTTGTAAGCCTGGGAGTGTACTCGGTTACCTCATTACACTGTTGTGCACAGCCTTAATTTATTTCATGTTAGGGTGAAAGGTCATGAATCCCAAGGGTATACCCACAAAGCTTATTTGAAATTAGAAAATTTTATAGATTTGTGTACATACATGTACATGTAGATGATTGTTCCATTGATTCTCAGTCTGGTTTGACTGACCGTCTCTACTTGGATATATTGTAAGGGGAAGGTTGAATTGTAGTAAAGGATTCCCTGTACCAGATGTTAAAAGCTTGTACCCCTGCATCACTATACATCTACATTAGGTTTTGTGTGCATTAGCGGTATTTGACCAAGGGTAGATCATACATACATGTACATGTAAGATAGGGGAATATCCCAAATTTAATATTTAATTTGTATCAGAGTGTAATCCCTGAATCTGGTCACCTGTCTGTAGCAAAGGTATACTCCTGATTCCATCGATTTTGGTGTTTATTTTAAAATTCATGTAGTGCAGCAGTTAATTCACAACACAGTCCCACATATATGTACAGTAGGTTTGGGTCTTTAAATGGGTACACCCAGTGAAACATGTTTATAACCAAGGAATAATAAGTGTGGCCACTATGAACGGTTTCTACAATGCCCATTTTTCCCATTGCAGGGGAATTTAAACTCAAAGAGGTACATGTGGGGCCTATCTTTTCGCCATTTGTGAAACCATTGAATTAGGAAGGGGATCTTTATAGGGGTAGCCACCACAACAGGTCTGATTGTATACATATGTGTACATGTGTGCTAACCGGAAATTAGCACTTGACTAACCTTTGATTGTACATGTACCTTGTTAATTTTTAAAAGCAGTATTTTATTATTGTGCAATCATGAATCATCTGAATACATGTTCATGTACGTGTATTTCTTGCCAACACTGGATAATGACCTAGTATGCAGGTTAAAGAGAAAAATTCAGGGAAAATTGTAATTAAGGATCAGCAAATTAGGAAACTGCTTTTTGCAGTATTTACAAACAACAAGTACTGTTTGGGACTAGCCACCATAAGGTGTAAATTTGCTTTTCATGCCTACAGCTGCATACAAAAATGAATAGCATACTGTACATGTACATATAGCCTGCAATATTGTGTGCAATGTATATGTCTTCTATACTGTACTTACATACAACATGTACGTTCAAAAAGAAATATTACATTTATATGAAAGCTGTGTAAGGCAGTGTTAGTTTGCCTGCATAGCTTTTCTTTTCCATTTTAAAAACAATTTGAAGATTATAAAGGAAGGGAATGTAGTGTAATATTAATATCAAAGCAAAATATCACAAGCACACTTGACTGTGTATGCTTACATGTACATTGTACATGTACATCATCCAGTGGATGTGTTGTGAGGCTTGTAGTACATGTACAGTGTTGTATGTGTATTGTATGCATGAGTCAGAGCCAGAAGGAACATCATTGTCTTGTTAGCTTTTGAAGCCGTGCTTAGTCTGGCCAACGTGATTGCAGATGTTTGGAGATGAGTAATTGTCAGATTCCAGGCAGGTTTATTACTTCTACTCACTGATTTCAAGAAGTACATGTAGAAGCATTTTACACACACTGTATCTTTATTTTCAAGTTTGTTTTCTTTTTTAAATAAATCACCAACTGCAGTGTTTGATGTACAATGTACATATAAAGTTATATTGCCTACCTACTTGTACATGTACAACTGTACAGTATTTGATTTGAAACATGTTGATCATCTGATTTTCTGACAACAGAATTGAAATTAGTGTACCCTGTAGGCATACATTGTACAGTGTACACGTACATGTACATCATTTGAGAAAGAGGCCAAGTCCAAAATTTGTTTCTGTGTTTGCATTTACAATGTACTGTAGGTTGCACTTACCTACACTAAAGAAAATTTTGAAAGCCAAAATCAGGAACCTGAAATAATGATCAAAATCAAGCAGTAATGTCTTGGATTTTATAGTGACAGTCGATGTAACATGTGATTTTGTTATCAATTCGGCTCACTTGATTCATTAGTTCAACTAGTCACTCATTATTGTTTGTAGAATGTGTAGTTGTGTACGCTTCACAAATGATTGAGTTTTTAAAATCTTGCATGGCCTA